CCTCCTCTTCTACAACTACCACAACCACCAGATCTCTTCATCCCACTATCATCGTAACATTCCACTGTCGTTGCTGTTACTTCACGATCACCGCCCTGCAACAACTTCTCATCGATTGTTTGCATTCCATCATCTAGTACATCAAAGATGTCTTCATCTACATCATCCCACGTCTCTCCCCTGTCATATGACCCTGTCCGATCTGTCAGCGAGTCGTCAACCACATATAAAAACTCCTTCCTCTTTGACTCCGCCACTTCTGCCGTGGCTAAGTTCCCTCATACGGAACTATATGGCATCATCAAGAGAGAAGAATCAGCGGAACAGGCCAGACGCCAGGCTATGATGGCAGAAATGGACTGGATCTCACGCCATACTGTGTCTTCCACTCATCCAAAGGCAGAACGTGAGAATCTTTCCCTACCGTCAACAAGAAATACAATATGTGTGATCAGCTGACATTCAATTAGCCGAGAGTCCGTTGGAGGGCACCCTAGACTGGATCCCTGATTACGCTCACAACAACCTCGACGAGAACGTCCCGCACTACCCAGCTAACTATGCCTACGGTGACCCTCGTTATGACCAAGAGAACGAGCTTTCACCTAATGCTATCAACTACAAGCATGGACTCCCAATCGATGATAACGTATATGACAATGGTGCTGCTCCCATCCATTCTCAACATAGCCACGCCGATTACCATCCCTACGGCAGCATCATCATTCCCCATGAGATCACGCCCCTTCAAGACTCGCTGCTTAATTCGGCTCCCACTGTTTTCCCGCCGTCGATCCAATCAGAGGCCCTCTACCCTCAAGAATACATGTATGGCGCATATTCCTCCTCACGGATCCAGCAAACCCCTCCTCCCAACACTGCGTTCCCACTGTATCCGCAGGCGGAGAACCACCACCCTATCGCACAACCGCAATCCTACGCCGAGATGATAAAAGAAGAGCGAATCTGGGAAGGCCGTGGTGTATCCACCTGGGTACCACAGGAGATTGTGAGACCGAAGTCGCCCGAGATCAAGATCGAGCCAGATGAGGAGAATGCTTATTCGTACCATTACTTCATCTCATCTTACGCCCCGAAGCCGCAGCCGATGGAAATAATGGAGTCGATTGAGAGTGATGACGTCGAGAGTCATTATCCACTGGAGCCGATCCAGCACATCAAGCAGGAATGGGACGAGTACTACTCTGATTCCTCTGCATGGTCGACTACTGGCACCCTTGCTTCTACCAGCTCCTCTTTCTCCACAAGCTCGAGCATGACCAGCTATGATGCCGACGATGTCAAGGATCGCTATCTCGAGGAGAGATGGTGATGACGAGCTACCTATGGTCTCTCGAACATGCTCTTGGGTCATACCTTGTCAGGATCTCTAGTATGGGGTACTTATAAGCTCTGTTGTTGCGCGAAGAGTCTGATCATCTTCGTGTGGCTATATACATACATGTCCTTTGTTTAGTGTGATCTTCGCAGATCTTGTCACTATTAGAGGCGCGGATTGTCATTACGGATTGGATTAGGGGCGGATTTGGTGCTAGGGCTATTTTTCTCTTCGTTTTCTCCCTGGAGGAGATTCTGGGCTTTTGCGTTACAACGCATTCACGATACGTGGTGTCTTGGCTTCAGGGGTTATGGATCACCGGCAATTTGAGGGTTTGTGTCGCTTCGGGGTAGGGGGTTTGTTATGATACCTCATTTCTTCATATGAAACAAATTTGTTGGCAAGGGGTGTTTGGTTCTGTATTTTTGACTACTGTATATGAATGGATGGGTCGGCAAAATGAGCATACGGATAGAGACTTGATCACATACCCAGGTTCACACCCGGAAAAGGAAAATTAGAGGAGTTTCGGCGCATTTGCGTCAATAGGCAGACTGTTAGAGTTGATAAATGCTGAGTTTCCCCATATATCTGTGGTTCTGACTTGACCTCTATATTAAGCGCCTTGTGACTATAATTTGACTCAATGATCACATTTCAAGGAAAAGATGTAACAGCACGAGCAACTCCAGCCAAGTTCTCTTATGTCTTGCTGCTCTAGTCTAAGAATCGTAGTCGCTAGTTGTTAGGTCTTCTTCTTCTTCTTTATCTCAACGGCATCGGCTAGTATACTTTTAGCTTAAACAACATGATCTCAAGAAATATAAAGCCACATACAAGCCGCCAGCCTCCGTTCAAGCCACGCCAGTTGACGCAGCATTTTCTTCTTTTTACGATTCGACTAACAAAATTAGTAAGAATAGAAAATTACATAATCAATCCTAATCTTATCAGATTAGATTCGTAAGTGTATGCTTACCAGAGGGACGTTCTTGTCCTTGTCCTTGTCGTCGCCCTTGGGGTTCCCGGGCTTCTCGGGCTTCTTCTCCTTCTTGGGCTCTATACACAGTTAGTTACACGATTAAGGTCAATTCACTAATCCACTCACTGGGGCGCTGGTAAACAACCTCGGAGTTCACAATCACCAATTTTTTAATGGTTCTGTTGGTAATCGTAGACATCTATAATGCTTTATTAGCGCATATACTCCTTAATTGCATGGTTTGCATACTTCGCTCATGCAGAATTATGACACAGGTTATCGTGCGAATAGAAATATGAGTTCAGTGTTAATATAGGAAGTGGTGTCTGCTCTGATATCAGTGGTAAGATATATTAGTGTGACTGTGGTCACGGTGCAGGAGAGCTCATGATATCTTGAGGACGGGACCATGGAGTGGTGACGGAGGCGAACATGACGGGTTAGGTAAGCCTGGTAATTTTCGGTTCAAGCCGAAATTAATGATTAAAGATGAGAATATGTAAGATGCTACTTCGCTAAGGACCATCGTGTATTGGATACTTAACGGCGACAACAGGTTGAGGATGGTACTTATGATGACTGACGATGGGTTATAGAAAGAAATGGGAAAGAAGAAAGAAAAGGGAGAGGGAGAGGGAGAGGGTCAATTTTTATATACATATCTACCTACCTAGTCCACGCGCTCCTAATTCATAGACGCGGCTCGGGAAGGAACGATGGCCTCTAGGTCCACCCGAGTTCGTCCCTCCTAAGTTCCCAACACTGCACAGTATACTAAGCATCGTTACTGCTAGTACTATTATAAGGAATTATCAAGTCAATTCATAATGTATCCCTTAAAGGCCTGCTATAACCATTAATCCAAAATTACATGCCCCTACATGTACGCGTGTCCCAAAAGCTCTCAATTCGAATAGGCGTGTGCTACATAGATATGCTGCCTTCTTCCCGCTCTTTCCTCTTCTATTGCACTCGTTTTAGCGGAGGGTCTTTACAGTTATGTTTTCCCATGAGAGTATCTCAGTAGTAACGTAGGCCACTTCCTAATGCTCAATTGCACATCGTAGATAGTAAAAGAAAATCGAGCGTACGTCTGCTCTATTAATTTCCCTCTCCTCTCCTGTCCTTAAAATCTCCGCTCCGATCTACCAGCGTCTTATTGCGGATTTTTTCAGCAATTTTATTGTTCGAATTATGGTTGTAGGACAGCGATATGTCAGCGTATTTAGACGGCGAGAAGCCAAAGGATTTGGATAATTCGTCTTCCCGTCCCTCCGAGGGGTTGAAGAAGGAGCATCATCGGCCTCGTACACGGCGGCTCAAGAAACTCCTTCGACGGCAAGTTTCTCCTTGTCAGACTCTTGCAAAGCCTCGTGATACTTATAGCTGCATACCGCTCCCCTAGAGTGGCAGAACAAAGAAGGCATTCTGTATATAGATCTCTAGCTTGTAGATGTGTAGTTGGGGCTCCTTATGCGGCAACAAGTATTCAAGACTTACCCCTACGTTGCTATCAGTATTCAGAGGTCATGACATCTTCGTTCCTCCCCTATGCGGTATTATACCTCTTAATTTCGAAAACATATGGAAAATCAATTATTCCCGAAGATTCACGATGGCTCTAAAAGCAAATTACATACGACTGGGACATACAGCTCGTTATCGTAGTAGAATAGTAATTTACCGCCTGAAAGAGAAAGCGGGATTGCCCCTCGCAGTACCAGTTAAAATTCGTACAGCTAGAGTACTCGGCTCGCCCATATCACTTACCGGGAAACATTGCACAGGTCCTTTCTTTGTCTATCAATTCATCATGATACTATCAATAGTTTTACCTAAGGCTACAGTCGTACATGCCGTCAGGCAAAATCCCTCATAATAAGGTCGGAACCACTATGGATTCGGACAGTGGTTAAGATCTTAGAAGGAGGAGAGTATTCGGCTCGATTGGAGGTTTAGATGCGATTTCTCGTTTTATTGAAGGGCTGGCTTCACTTTCGGAGAACACCTCGTTGTGAGTGCCTTATCACTCACTCAATCATTCTACAACATCAACATCCACTCGCTCGTCTAAGTACACGCATGCCTACTAGCCACCGATGAGATTGTAGGCTATCATGTCAATTACCTCGGTCTCTCCTATGTATAACTATGGGCACTCAATCGCTAGGCATTAAGCTACTACTGCTTGTGAGCGTACTTAGCCCATATCCGCGGGCCTATCCTAGTTTCACGATACATACAAACGCTTGTACCTATCTTTGGCCTCATTTAGCTGTGCAGGCACCTAGGAACATTAATATGCGGCCCTAATCGGAACCAAGATCTGTAGCTATGGCTTGAGATCAAGGACTTGGAAGGATATTTATTTAACTATAATCTAGCGTGGTACCCGGGGTCCTGAGGGCTTTTGACTTTTTATCATCTAGACGGGACTTCTGCGAAGTATTCATTCAAGGCGATTCATCTTGCATCAGCGAGACGAGCTCCTTGATAACGATGGGCACTTAGGCAGAACAGTTCAAGTCGCTGTATCGTCTTTGATAAAAAGGGCGACAGTCCAGAGGTGAAGAGTATGAGAAAGCTGAGTTGCAAAAATGAGGGCAACTTTGATCATATGCCCTCTGTGTTTGTGCAATATGATAGTATGTTTTCTAACATAACCACACATTATCCTATGGCAACGTGGCTGAGTGGTTAAAGCGTACGACTAGAAATACATCTTGCAATCGTATCCCTTCGGGGTCACAGGTTCGAGTCCTGTCGTTGTCGGCGAACTGTATGGTTGGATTTTCTGTTTTGCTACTGGCTAGCTTGGCGTGCCCCTTTTTATCACATCACCTACTTAGAAAATACCTGACTAGCAAGGGCTTGTTTCTTTCTTGAGCTGGAATATGTTATTTATTAACCCTAATATTAACAACTAACGAAGCTAATGTCAGCACCTCAGGTGGCTTGGTGGAATAGGACCTATTGGCTGGAGGAAATAGGGTGTTGCGCTGCAACACTATGCACACTAGCGTTGATGGGCGGGCTCACCCCACCGTGATGCTTGTTTAGATATTCAAATCACTTCCCCTCTGAATCGCCCAATATGAAGGTACCAACAGTATATTTATTAAAGTTTACTGTCATTTCTAGGAGAGGTATAGGTTTTAGCAAGATTGTCTTTTTGCGACCGGCATTTCAATAGAGACCTCTGAAAGGGGGTCCCTCAAGAGCCGCCATCGGGCAACACCTGTCACACACACAACAAATGATGCTCGGATAATACTATTATTGGGTCTATTCGACTGTTGATGCGGACATTCGAAAAGAATTCGTCCTGTCATACTGATTTTAACCCCATCAAACACAATGGCCACGATTGATTTCATTGGACCAGGTCTAGCGATGCAACATGCAGGTCGAATGTGATATTTTTACCCGAATAGTCGCAGATCCCGGACGTCATCCAAGGCGCGGCAGGTCAGCACACATATACCTTTCGTTTGGAAGCTCACGATATCGATATCAATCCCAACTGGGCCAGAATGACCAACATGTATCGCCGATCTTTGAGTGGCGACGAGGTACGAGCAATGCGGATAGCTCCTCTTGCATCATCTCGTTCGAAAGATAAGTTCTTTTCTATTCTCTAGATGCCCGACTAGAGAGCATGATACAAGATCAAGTATCTTCTCCGCATTTAATTAAAACAACGGATTTCGTGACTATTTACACGAAGCGATACATGAACAGTTTTCTTTGATTGAGATTACTTATTTACAATAGCGAATGTTACATGAACTGCTACAGAAAACTAACCCCTCCAAACCACCAATGATCATAGTCATTAGGCCTTCTTGAAACACGCCTGGATAAGAGCAGTATCGGTCCAGGTATTACCATTCTTCGTCGGGACCTCGCTGAGCTCATACGTCTGAGGATCAAACGATCCTGCCGCCCAGCCTACGTAACCGAGGTAGACGTCGGCATTCGCATTGACGTACGCAATCTGGGCGCAGATATCCTGTTCGCAGGACGCTGTGTTACCGCCACCCATCTCCGTATTCAATGCCTGTCTCTTGTTGGAGCGCAGCCAGTCAGCGAGCGGTGCGAATGCTGTCGAGATATTGTCCGTCACGCAATCCGTGTGGGTTCCAGAGCCATCGCTGTCTGAGTACTTGTGTACATCAAACACGAGCCCCGTTGTGCTGCCATCCGGATTCACCACGCCTAGCAACGCGGGGCCGCTGTTCGTGGGAAATGCCCCCGCTGATGTATAATCGTTCCCTGGGATCAAGATTGTGTGTGCAGAGCCGCCGGCCGATGTCTCGGCTTGACGGATTGCAGTTACGGCTGCCTGTACGCTCTTTGCCCATGTGTTAATGTCCACCTCATGAGGCTCGTTCATGAGGCCGAAGATAACATTCCCCGAGGATGCGTATTTTGTCGCAAGCTGGCTCCAGACATTGGCGAACTGGTCATCGGTTGGGCCGCCTTGACCAATGATCTGTCCGTTCCAACGCGCGTAATTATGAATCTACAAGCCATCCTCTGTGAGCAATCACATTGACCTGACTAAGAATTTGGAGCTTGTTACTCACATCAATGATGCATGTCGCGCCGGTAGCTAAGCATGCCTGGACTAGCTGGTCGTATTGGCCAATATTGTTGGGATCCAGCGTACCTCCTAATTGATTATTCACGAGAAATCTACAAGAAATTCCAGAGTTAGATTGTAGCGCTTGGGTATCGTTGACGGTTGGCTCGAGCCGTAACCAGACAGGAAACGTAGGAAACCCTGTGACTTAGAAGTACGTACTGCCATCCCACTGGAAGCCGGAAAATGTTCATAGACAGATCTTGCGCGAAATGCGACATCTGTCCGGCTCTAGGAATAGTTAGCACATGTATAATGTAGCTAAATCAGAGCTGGGTGTATCGTGACTTACCCGTCAGGGCCACCAAGTGTTGATAGAGGAGGGACCACCTTATCTGTGAGACAAGTTCCCTACGTCGCCTTAGTCTAGTTTGATTATCATTTTTTTTTTTTGAGTCGCTGCTTACATCTGTCCCACAGCCGAAGTCGAACCCAGCGATATTGACACCGAAATATTGGACGCCAGTGGCTCTCTTTGAAGGTGAACCTGCTATGTCTTAATATCAAGTGATGCCAGAGGGACAGGATGACGGACTGTTCGCCTGTGGCAGTGCAGATGCACCCGCAGCTAGCGTGGCAATAGAAGTAGTCGTGAACTTCATAGTGATAGAGAGACGCTGAACTCGATACGAAGTATTAGTGCTCTTTAAGCTATAAAGCTAGATGTTGTAGGTCAATTCAAAGAGTGTTGATGAAGCTACGTTTATATACCTTTCCCCCAAGCTATCTACCTTCCCTCAGGGTATTAGTGGAAGGCGACCATCAAGCTTGTTGACGGTAGGAGTCTTTATGTGATGTCACATCTTGATAATTCGGGACACTATAGTATATCTGGAGGCGGCGACAACGAGCCCGAAGGAAGGTGATGTGGAATTCATGTAGCATCACCAATCACGTTGTTAATTTGAGATCGGATAGCTAAGCAGAACAGTATAGTCTATGTGAAGCTGCATGAAACGTGCGCGTCGTCTCGTCCAAGCTGCGGCCTACTACATAAACACATGGCACATCATAGTCATCAGTGATGATCTTAACACTAAAGCGACGATCAAAGCCATTTAAGCATTAAACCTCGGAGGGTGATGTTGCTAGTCTGAATAGCTAGAAACTACTAAATCCTATCAGCTGGCAATCAATTGTAACGTCTAAATTCTTCAATTATGATATATCTAATAAGAACTGGCGTGATATATCATCTGTTTCGTAGTTTTCGGATGATCTTTTCTACTTTTCTTAAGCTGTGTTCTTTGGCATACATGTAGTAAACCTTGGCAATGGCCCTGCCCATGATGTCGGGTCTCCCATTAGCATGTCTAATATAAGTACGAAGTAGAAAGCTTGATTGGGACGAACTGCCGTAAAGGGAAATTCAATCGGCGGGCCGAAATCCATGAAACTTAGCGGACCCTTCTTAGTACCATTTGCTAAGACCTATGCGGGAACGATCATCTCATTTATGAAAAGTCATTTATGAGAAGGTTATACTCTACGATCAGTCTCCCAAATCGAGCCGTGGTGGCCATACTAGTTAGGGGTTATCGGATAAGCTTTCCTACATAGTATACGGCTGTCTGTCTAACGGCGTGCGATTGGTTTCCAGCAAAAGATCTATGATACACATGTAGATGAATGCGCAGGGAATGCGACTCTAAAAGTGAGATTCGATTTCATGACATATTTTGGGCATAGCGCCGCTCGCCAACTAATCAGTGCGATAGTAAAGAATCAGAGAATGATTATATGACCCTATTTACATCCCGTCTAGATCCGTGCCCCAGCTCGTCGTCTAATGCACCACGTGCGCTGTCATGACGGCTCATCAACCTTATATATCGGCTCAGCAGGTGAAAACGGATGGGCCTGGCACCGTGTAGCTATTGAAGTTGCTATAGATATTTGCGGTATAACCAGGATCAGTCGCCTTGAAAGCACCAGGAATCTTCGCTGTTGGTGAAGGTGTCGTGTTGCCACCTCCGGAGACTTTTATTTGCCCGCAGGCGATATACCACTGAGGGGTAGCCCCTGGATTGTGAATCGCAAGAGATTGGATCCTCAGAAGATACTCGCCATCTGGGATACATTTAGGGATGTTTCCGGAGTAGGTGCCTGGTATCTCGGTCAATAATCTGCACAGAATCAACATCACTATTGAGTTATTTCGTACCTGTCATAGTCCATTGTGCCTGTCCGCCCCCGAACTTCGGGCCTGGTCAAGATTTTGGTTAGGTAACTAGCAGTAAATTCATCTCATTTCCAATGACATACCCCAGTCATAGATCTTGAACCAGTCGCCACTCCCATCATAGCTCGCCGCCGTGCTAGGGGCTTTAGACATGTATCTATAATGTCGTCGGTGTTAGCTGTTTGTGCCTTTAGTACTGTTACTTAAACAGGGTCGGCTAACAATGAAACAGGACCCTGATGGTACACCGCTTGATCCAGACTGAACGTGAATTGGTCTCCGGCATTCAATGCTAGGGTGCTAGTGCTCCCACCGGTAGCACCGCCAACATTGCATCGAAGGTCATTCGAAGAAAGATCTATAAATTTGTATCAGAGCTCTGCACCAGTATCAAGATGTGTGTTCATGTACAAACTCACCGGTCACGGGAGAGTTGTAGTTGGTATTGCGGCGCACAAACTCATATGGTGTACCCTTAGCAGTGCCTTTACCGAGAGCTTGGAAAATATAGTGCCCCGAAACGCTCTGTGCAGTCAGAGCTGCTGCGATGGCAGTCTTTATGAAGCCCTTCATCTTGTGCAGAGCGTTATAGATGTCAAAATATGTGTTCGCCCAACTGCAAGGCAATGAGAACTAAACGACGCAGACACTGATGGTATATATCTTTTCTCGCCGGATCTTCCTTTGACGTCACGCTCCCCCAGCCTCCTATGAAGGGATGTGAACTTCCGTGGCTCTCGGCAGTTGATATTCCACCCTTGATATTGCTAAGCCTTCTAGACTTTGCTTGATGACAAGACGGCTACTAAATGGGCCAAGAATCTGGGGTTCGGTCGAGCCTCTACAGCCCAATCGGCAATGACATGAAAGTAATAATGTTTGAATTAAACTTTATAACTCTCTGAAGAACCATGGTACGTTGGCGAGGCGGTTAGATATTGATTG